GCAAAAATAAAATTCTATCATAAAGAAGAAGCCAACCTTCGGTATTGGAATCTTCCCGTCTGCAAGTCTTAGTATATGATCGTACACAGAGACCTCAGTATTGTGCAACTAGAAATACTCGTTGAACTTTGAACAAATGTTCTATGTTTGAAGCATGCAACATACAGAAATGGAAATTTTGAAAATGTGAACTTTCTTGGCAAAACAGTACTTTTTTTTGAAGGCTATCAAAACTAGTCGAGAAATCACTTTTCCCTGTCACTTCCTTCATAAGCTGCACCATTAGCAACTGAGTAAGAATCTAAAATAAGGATTGAAGAGCACACAATGCTACATTACTCTTCATGTTTTGATTGGAAGAGCCTTACTTTAACAATAAATTGCTTTGGAAGTTGCTTGTCCTGATTCTGCCAGTCTGGTTCTATGAGAACAACTCTTGACATGAAGCCCTGCAATAATTATCTTATAAAGATTATACGCAGGTTTCTAGGGAATAAGTGTACCAAAAATAAGAAGAATTCAAACCTACTATTCCATCTCCAATATTCTTGGCAGTCTTGTTTGGACCAAAAATTGCCTTAGTTTTCAGCTCTCTCTGCATGTCCTGCTCAATATCCTCCCAAGTAACGTGCGTTTCGAACAGTCCATTACCAGGAGTGTAAAGGTTCATTTTCTGCAACTAAGAATATTTTTTGTAACCTAATTGTTAATCACATGAAATTGACTACACGAATGAAGTGCTCAAAACAAAACGATGTGGACTTGGTTTGTAGATAATAATGGCGAAACAACGATGGGGAAACTAGACTATAACTGTAATTTGTTGTACTCAAAGCTCTTGGTGTTTAAACCATGCAAAACCTGTCCTTGCAGTTCAATCCTCTTTTTGAAGGCAATTATAGGAAAACCGTGGTAATTCCAAAAAGGGTAGCTCTACTTGCCTTATAAGGTCAATTTCATTTCTATTATCTTCAAATTCGCACTATATATACATTATATATATATATATATTTCTTGGTCTTTTCAAATTAGAGTCTCTCTTCCTTTGGCTAAAGTTAAAAAATCCTTACTTAGATAATTATATTCTGGAGAATTTGTTAAATCACTGGGACATTATTTTTTCCTCTTCGAAGAACTAAAGAATCTCAGAAGAATACTCTCAGTTTATAATACGGATGAGATAACATCGTAATCCTATCTTCACTATTTGTCAGTTGAATTAATCTAAACTTCAAAATGATGTAACAATTCATTTCAACGGTTGGATGCAACTCCCCCATCCGAAAAACAACTTATGACTTTTTCCTCTTAGCTAATCCACTGATTCGTGTTTTTTCAATTGAAGGTGATCAAACTTGGAAATCCAGATAGCAAAAAAAACCCAAACAGTTGTTGCGGAAGGCGAGAAGCTCAATAAGTTCTTTAACCCTATGGTAGGATAATTGGGTACGCCGATTACTTTCACACAAATCAGTGGATTTGGTATTACGCCTTCTACCTACCACAATCTTACAGTGACGTCGTAGTGAGAAATCGCTATGATTTTCGTAACTGGCATAACTGATTCACTAAATAAATAGCATTATTGTATGTCCGGGTTCCTCACATTCTAGGAGAATTAAACTGCCGGTTAAGTTTTTTTT